ATCTCTGGGGGATTTGAGTCATTGGTTTTTCATTTAAACAAGAGTGAGAGGTTTATTTATCCCCTTTTCATTTCCTTTGTATTTGTTACTGCTTTTATTTGGCCACTCTGTATCCTGCTACGTGGTTAGGGAAAGTTGTACATTACTTTCTAATCAGATGATGAATTAATTCTTTACTTTCTGGTTCTGCTCTGGATTTGCGTTATCAGAGTGGCATGGCCACTGATTTCAGTAAGACTTTACTTCATTACTTGTGGTTCTCCTGTGACATATAAGCTGAAACCACACAGTTTGCTTGTTTTGGACCAAGTCTTATATCTCTGAACTCATGAGAGGTGAATTATAAGAAAGTTTGTGAAACCATCCTACCCTGTGTGCATGTCAGAGTATGTTCTACTGCATGGGGCAAATAATGTCTTGAAAARAACTTGAATTGTAGAGCCTTGTTGAATTTTGGGCCTATGACTGCTTCTTGTCCAGCCCATTTTGGGGAGCTATTGATCCAAACAAAAGGGAGTTTGGACCAAGTTGGAATGTAGTGGTTATGCTGGGATTAGCATAAATGCCCAGCTCGTATGTGTTTCTTTATTGTGCTAGAAGATGGTGAAAGCATTTTAAGAAAAGCATTTATTTTCAGGATTTGGTTTTCTGTGGCTGCCTTAGGGTACAGTGACTTGTGTTTTTTAGAGTTTGATTTCTGCATAATCTCCTGTCCCCTTTTAGAAGAGAAATGGGTGCTCATAACCGCTACGTGAGCAGGGGGGTGGACGCCCCTCCGCAGATTCCTGTGGCTTCGCGGGCGCCGTCGGATCAGTTCAGTGAGCTGAATCCATCAGCAGTGCTGCGCAGACACGCGCGCGGGCAGGAACTCTTCTGTCTCTGCAACACTGCGTTTACCCTTGCTGCTGCCCAGGTAAATTCTGCACCCTCTGCAGCTTGAGGCTTCCGAGAGGGGTGCAGGGAGGCACGTGCACGTCCCCCTYCTGTCCCCGCTTTATCCGACTGCTCCTCCTAAATCATAAGAGGGCAACCTCTCCGCCACCGTGGCTGCTGTCTGGGGATCAGGCCCCAGTTTCCAGCCCAGGATAGGGCTGGATGGAGAGGGGAGGTCGGGCAGGTTGGGCTCCTTCGTTCTTTGCACGAGTGGGTAAGGTGAGGTGTGTGTGTGTGTGTGTGTGTGTGTGTGTGTGTCAGCCCTTGAATGTGATAGAGACTGCAAAAGAGAGAGAGCCTGGACATCTGTGCATCCAACAGAAATACTTTATCTATTACATTATTATTATGTATATAATATATAAGTATATATAAAATATAGTTATATATATACTTATATATATAAAGATATATATAATTTTGTAACATTTTTAATGTGTTGTTGCTGGTTTAAGGACCTGTTCTAGGCAKTCACTGCATATCTTCAGGTTTTGGGCTGCTTGTGAGCAGGAGACGTATTTTTAGGATCACCTCAGTAGTGGCCAGTGTTTGTCAATGTGCCAAGCAGCTCCTGACCAGACTTCTACCACATGGACACGAGGCTTTGCAGCGTTGAATGAATGAATGAAGGAAGGAGCTGAATGGCTTTTAAGAGGTTACAAGGTCCAGCCCTTCACTTCACCATTTCAAAGGCTCAATGTAAGAAGCCTTCTAATATTTTCTTCTTTGACACATGCATTAWCTTTGCTGATAAGGGCTCTAAAAACAAGTTCCAAATGCTCCCAATATTCAGCTTATGCTTGAGGAGGCTGAAGCTGTTTTCAAGTCATTTTTCTGCTTTTAGAAAGCCGTGCTTGTTTTGATCAGCAAGGCAGAGTGATTGGGGCCTCTATTCCATGGATGAGAGCTGGCAGGAGGCTTCTCATGCATCGGCTCTCTGGCAAAGGSAAAGCAGGCAAGGAGAGAGCTTGGAAGATCAGGAAGAGACAGCTCGYATTTTAAGCTTGAATGTTTTGCTCTTTCTTAATTCTCTTTATTTGTGCATTTTGTTCCCCAGTGAGTTCATCCAAGGAAATAAGCAGAAGGGTCCTTGGAAGCACAGAGGGAAGATTCACTTTAAAGTGTACAATAAAAATAGGCATGCACAGCACACTGCGTTTCTGATGCTGGCAAACCCCTTACAAGAAAGCAAATTGTTCATATTTGGCTTAAAGGTTTCTGTCAGATGTGGCTAAGTTGCTAATTTTACCCACGCAGTAGTTTTTTTCCAAGTGGGATGCGGGAGGATAACCGCTTTTGGAAGTGTGACCCTCCTGGAGCAGGAGGCATGGGTTCTGCCCTTACGTCCCAGGTCTTTATGCCATGGTGGGAGGCAGGAAAAAGATTTTTCACCTCTACTGGAGTCACTTTCAACAGGCTCTTCTGCCCACTCTCACCAAAGAGCTTGTGATAGACAGAAATAACACATGAGAAAAATGCAAGAGTGGACTTATTAAGTGGACTCTTATTTATTTAGACCAAATAAACCCCTAGTTCAGTCTAACGTAAAGAATCTTGCATTGCCAGCTTGTATTTCCTAGAACCAACCTCTTTTTGTAAGAGAGATCCTATTGTAGTACTAAAGGGCAGGAAAATCTTTGTTTAAATGAATGAATTTGCTCCGAATTTGCCCTGGAGAGTTGGTAGTGAAAAGGAAAAGGTTCCAGGGGATTTTCAGTATTAATAAATAAAACTGAGGTTTGGCTGCACCATTCCCTTGGAAGCAGTCAGGCTGTTCAAGGTAGCTGTATTGGGGTTTCCCTGGAAAGCCCTTGGAGTTCCATAGCAGTGAGTCCATCAAAGGCATCAGTCGTCCCAGAGGCGGCATTTGCCGCATGTCTGCAGCACGGCCGCGGGGCACGGGAACGCGCGCCCCATTCCCGGGAACTGCAGGGAAGGGGTCAGCAGACACAGGCATGGTTGTGGGATTTTTTTTTTTTTTTTCCCCCATTTTTCTTTTTTCCTTTTCCTTTTTAGCAGTGCAAGCGCTCCATCTACAGGTCCAGCAGTTTCCTAATCGGATCACTGCTCGCTACGCTCAGCGCGCTTTCCCTTGGTTGTGTTCATAAAAGGACTATGTGGCTATGAAGCTACCTCAAGCTGTTCGCGAGYGTGAGTCTGAGTGAGCAGTTTTCAACAACAATAAATCATGTAATCTACCGTCAATTGGTGTTTGTGAATTTGGAGGGACTGGAGAACTCCTACATGCAGAGACCAAGGTGCCCACAGACCCAAAATAAGGCCACAGCCTCCTCTTTGGCTGCCATGGGATTGTTTTTCTTCTGCACAAATAAAGAGTGGCTCCCAGAAAACACTGGTATTTTAAATTCCGAATGATTAGAACCACATGCATTTTAGAATGTACTGGAGAACAGGCCCAGGCCTCTTGGAGCATTAGGCACAAGGTCTCCTTATGCATGTGCTTCTGGTTTGTTTCCGTATCAGTTATGGCTCAGATTATAGACCTGAGCAAGAGCAGGGTCTCTGTTAGCCAGAGACGGCAAGAGATAGCAGAAAAAAAATARCTTGCTAAAAAGTAACAGTGTGGGGTGGGTGAAGTGCATGCAAAACAYAAAATGAAGCAAGAAGGGCATAATAAAAAAAAAAGTCACACATTAAAAAAAAAAACCCCTCCAAACAATTCCAAACAAGGCATTGTAAATATTGTGTTGAATTTCACAGGCTACTTTATTTTTAAATTTTGAGGTTTCTGATAGTATTTGGGAAAAATGCTGAAGCCAAATGCTGCTTTAGGTAGGAGAGCGCTTGGCTGTACAGAAAACTTGCTCTTTTCCTGTGCTGCAGGTTTAGGTGCTGGATGAGGCTGCTGGTCCCGCCGTGGTCATCGTGGGGCAGTGCTGGACGGAGGGAAAGTGGCCTCACATGTGTGCACATCTGCTTAAAAACAGGCTAATTAACACAGTATGCAATGACAGCTGGATTGGGCAGCTACGGCATTGGTTCTTACGCTGGAAAAGCTTCTTCCAGTGTRAGTCTGCCTGGCCTTCCCTGGCACTGTTTTGACAGGAAGCATCAGCTACTTGTTACTTACGGAGTATCAGGGAGACTATTTAARTAGCTGCAGACAAAGTAGAAACCATCAGTGTGATCATGCTTATTTGTTAACCTCGTGGCTTGAAGCCCAGCCCGTCACGTTGGCCTGTTTTTGTTCTCTGGAGAAGGAGCTGATGCTGACCTGCCCTTTCCTCCCCCTTTCCAGAGCCTCCCACTTCGGGCACCCCCTCCCTGTGTGCAGCGCTTCCAATGGGGGTCCCTGGCACCGGGGCAGGCTCAGGAATGGCATTTAAGGGAGCTGGTGTTTACGGGACCCTGCCTGCTTCCTGCCCTGGGCTCCCACACATCCAGCTGAGGGGTCTGGCTGCTGTTTTGGGCTGGCTGCAGAGCTGCTCGCCCTGGCCATGCCCTGGGAGCGGCGTGAACACCGCAGCCACGTCACCTCTCACCCCTGATGTGTGTATTTAGTATGTCCAGAACATCTCAACTCAGGATTACCTTTACTGGGAAACTGTAACTGCACCGGACACTTACCTGTAATAAAAACATGAGGGGCTGAACTCAATCAGCTGCTAGGGTGGATTTCTAAAGAAGGGGCACTACCCTTTAAACTCTTCAGTTTTTACCTTGTTAAAAGAGGCAGTAATCACAGAGTAAGGGGAAGGGAAAAGGGACTTGTCAGTTTTTTCTTTTTTTTTTTTTTYCCCATTTTAAATCACTGTGTTKATAGAATTCGGCTATTTCAGCATCTTCTTCAAAAATTAACATACCAATGAGAATTACTGAAGTAGGCCAAGGCAATGCATCCTCCGAGCAAAACGTTTTCTTGTCTGGGTGCTAAGTAAAAACRAACGCAAGTAAAGCAGGGCAGAGACCCCCAAAGCCCCACAGGACTGAACTGTGTGCAAACAGAAAGGAAGAGCAAAGGACTGAGTGTAAACTAGAGTTTAGGACCTAAGAACTCCAAAGACTTTTATTGATGTGACAACATCGCCGAGGAAAAATCAAGTTAATGGAATTTACATAAGGAAAAGCTTCCAAGCTTCCACAGATTTTTCTAACCAAAACACATTCATGAATCAGTGAACCACAGCAAGAGTTAGACCCGACCAATTTTGCAAATTGATTTAAACTCTGAGCAGGAAGGAGGCCACTCTTGTTTCAAGCCAGGTGGGGTAGGATAAACTGAATTGCCAAAATTCTGCTCTTTTTGTAAGCTTAGGCYTGTGTGTTCGGTTGGGCATGCGACCAGATTGAGTAGTTTTGAATAGTGATTTTACATTAAGCCCAACCTTCCCTAGTTAACAAATGAATGAAGACTGGTATTGGAGGATCTAAGTAACACCGGATATGTTACAAAAAGGGGGAAAAAGGCGTACCAAACGAATCCGAGAAGCATTTTGACCACTTGAAAACTTGCAGATGAAGCAATATCCCAATTTAAGGCAAGAATCGGAGCCTTGATGTTAGCTGGAAATTTTTGTCTCCATCAGTTGAGGTAAGGACGTACATTCTGGCCAGCTGCTCGTGTTCCAGGTCTGCGTTTTCCAGGCGCTCTCGAGTCCGACTGGAGGCCAAGGGAATCCTGATCGGGGTGGAGGTAGCGACAGCTGAAGGAACAGGCTGCAGCTTTTCCAGTGGATTTTGAATTTTTTTCTGAAATGCTAAATTCCATCATGGGCTCTTTCATCACCGCCACAGGTGCAAAAACCAGTAATGCTAATTCCAGCAATCCAGATCTTATTTCATAGGCAGAAATTAACCCAAAGGCAAGTAATAAAAATGCATACATCATCCCATTCAATTATTCAGCAGTTTTGCAGACATACCAGAAAAAAAAAAAACAGCTTTCAATATAAAAATTGTCTATGAAACAGTCTGTTTTGACTTTTTTTTTTYCCCCTCCATGGATCATAATTCTGAATGTGCCGCTGAATCTGTAGAAAAGGAGAAAAAAATAGTGAGCTCCATTTCCAGCTGCCTCAGTGGCAGAACGGTTTGAAACTTAAGATGTAAACCCACACAATGTGTTCTTTCAAAGGTCACCAGTGACTGAGGGACAGTTTGTAACTGCGCTTTTAAACACACATCAGAATTAAGAAAAAAGGCCAAGTTCAAAGCTGTGAGAACAACAGAGCTGAAAGGTCTGTGCGCTACTCGCTCTGTTCTGAGTTTCAGCGTCCACTTCAGCTCTGCCCTTAAAATATGCAGAATATTTAACAGATTCTCCACACAACCCTGTGCATCCTGCAAGCTTACAGTGAGCAAGCACAAGGTTTTACTGCATACAACTGAGAAGATTATCACCAAAGTAGGACAGGCTAGACAGATTACCTTGTGTGTGCTGTTCTGTCCTCTCAGCTGGGGTGCCTGTCTCTTTCTCTTCCTGGAAGCGACTCTGGAGCTGTTTGATTTCTTGATCGTAGTCCTGCCATTCGGGAACTATCCGCATCGCTGCCTGCAGCTTGGGCTCTTTGGTCATTGGGTTATTACACTGCAAACAAAACATGAACTGTTAAGATGCTGCAAGAATATTTAAAAAGGAGTTTCTTTACTGAATGGAGGGAGGCTTCCCCCTGGTGGAACTGAGCTGTTTGGGGGAAACATGGAAACATGCCTGTGTTTTAGCTCCTGCCCAGTGCTAAACGCATAATGGCACTGTTCCTAATAACTTAAGGGAAAAGGAAAAAATATGAGGAAGTGAGAACATTTAAGTAACAGTATAATATGAGGCAGGAAAGGTAGTAGGTAGGTTCCTAAGGTAGGAAAGAGCCTTGAAGGTGGGTCATTATAACCATGTGCAACATTAGAATGAGTGAGTCATGTTGCACTTACCAGGTCAATGGTTTTTGCTCTCTTCTTTGAGGAATCATCACACCATGTTTCACACCAAAGCCATTCCTGCGGGAGTGACTTTATGGGCACCTGGTGGATCATGTTGTTAGGCAAATCCTGTATCAAAGAACAAGATTCAGTAGCAGTTTTTATAGATTGGGGTGAATTTCTGTCACTCCCCACAGTACTGAATGTTTGAGGCTAAAAAAAGACCYGTGTGACCAGTCATGTCCAGTCACACTCGTGTTCCAGTGTACTGGGCAAATCAGCTGCTGATCTGAGGCCATGCATGTRCTGTTTCCAGTCACCAGGCACATTTGGGGGTGTCCACAGCAGCCTCACTGCAAGGCAGGGAGTGACAGGACTGTCACTGGCATCTGGCTGTGATAAAAGCCTGGCCAGGAAGGGAGAGGGCCCAAGCTGCTTTATTACCCCAGTAAAGAAAGGATTAAAAAAGCCACACCTGATCAAGGTTAGACAGGCTGTTAGGGTCCTGACTAAGACCCTGATACTGTCCTCGGAGTCGGTCTCCAGCTGCTATCTTTCTGAACTTCTTCAGGTCCACGACATACAGCGCGCTACATGGAGACAATACCATTAGCAATGATGTTTCACTGAGGGGCAACACTGCAGCCCCAATAAACCCTTACATTTAATATGTTAAAACAATCGTGGAAATAGTTCAAATCATCTAACACAAGGCAGGAAAGCAGTTCTAAAAAGCACATATTATGGCACATATATACACAGAAGTTGATGCCACAAATCTGTCTTGGCTTTGCTGTCGTGCAAACCATGCTGCTATTTGTTATTAACAAATGAAGATGTCTGGTTWGTTACCACCTCATTCATAGCCACGAGAGTTGTAGCTAATGAAAGCAGTGTCAGTGTCCCTGGTGGGTTCACATGGACACAGGCAACRGAACACGGAGCATGGGCTGCTGCAGCGCTGTGCACTCCAGTTATTTTTGTGACAGTCAAAGTGGAACCAAAGGCTCTTCTGTTCCATTTTGTAAAAAAAAAATCAAAATCAAACAAAAAMCACCAGTACCTGATGTGATACTTTCTTCCAGCTAAGTGACTTGCCCAGTATCCTGATTTCCAGAATCTGTAGCCATCCATTTCTCTTCGACTGTCACAGAATGGAGTGTATCCATAAGGAGCACCGTCCAGATTGAAATCTCTTAATTCCTTTAGATCTGTGCGCACAATCTGTAGGGAAAGGATTTATTTTGATTTGTAGAAGCATAAAACACTGGTTAAGATCTACAATTCAGACCAAGTGAACAGCTGAAGGAGGAACAGGAGTATCTATTACTCTGCAGCCTTTTGAATTATGCATATGTAGCACAAAAGTTTCTGGTTTATTCCCCCCCAAGACAGAGCTACTAAAGTGGAGCTCAAGAGAATCTGATAGAGGTTGGTTTGACAGCTGAAGTGGCAAGTTGTTGCTTCACAAGCAGCAAGAATTCTCACAATAGATAGAGTCTGCTACAATCCTTTGCCTCCCATCCTCTTGAAAGTTTGCAAACTCTTCAGGCATGAAGGCTTTTTAAGGTCTTTCTGACACACAGACGCTACTGCAGTACTACTRCTTTAAAAATAAAACTCCAATAGAAACAAACTGCATTAATAGGTTTTTCTTCTGTAAATGCAGTACACAGACTGTCTACAGAAAGAAAAGCATAGCTAAAAAATTTATCATAGGTGATACTTAAGCACAAGTTGTAATGGTTTTAACTACTAGGGGATCATACTGTACATATGCCAGAATACCTAAGGCATTATATACTTACATGCTGATAATCCGTATTTCTCACTTTCATATATGTTATAGAATAAATATTTTTGGCAGTTTATACCCATACTGTTTATTCAGACTGCTGAGKCAGTGTATTAAGCCATAGAGACATTGTCTGCTTTGCCACAAGGCACAGCTTTGGATATTGGGAATTTGTCTTCTCATTCCTCTGACAGCCATTTGGATCCGGGCAAGTTACAAAGCAGGGAGAGGAGAAAAGACAGACCTAGCACTGGGGCAGTGCATGGGTAAAACAAGATCCTGCTCAGCTGGAATCACAACAGTGACTGAATAAAGGACTTGAAAGAAAAGAGATGGGCCAACAAAACCACCCTTTGTGAGCACGCAGGTTAAAAAAAAAAACAGCACTCACTGAAGGATGTTACAGTGACAGAATGACTAGAGAGTCACCCTTCAGTCAGGCCTGGGAAGTGCTCAGACTTGCCCTCTCTGTAATAATAYAGAGATTGCATTCAAGAGCATGAAATTCTTAAATGATAAATTCTGTCTTCCATGTTACCTGATCAGCATCCACAAACAGGATTTTATCAACAGCCAGTGGGAAGAGCACATCCAGAAAGAGGATCTTGTATCCCCAGATGATCCGCTGTTTTTCTGTCTGCTGATGAAGCCAGCGGGGCCATTTGTACTGGACAAGCTCATACTGGAAATTGTACTTCTCTGCCATGTAAGGGATGAACTCCTGCAGGGTGAGGGGAGGAAAAAAGTAGCTTATCTCAGTTCTTTGTTCCTCTGCAGGAAGAAAAAGTGCATTACAAGAGAGAAACTTCAGTCCTACAGTAAGGCACAGAAGACTATAAAATGAAATACCACAAACAATACCTACAGTACTGTTGTTACTTCAAACAAAGTAAAACATAATCCAAAAATGTACAGCAAGTTATAAATTGTAAAACCAACTGCTGTAAGACATCTAAATATTCTGGCATCCTTTTTCATACAAACCATTTTACAGTGATTCACAGATCAGTTTAAAAGAATGCATTACTCAAATCATACAAAACTTAGACATGGGAGAATTATTCAGGGATGTACAAAGCAGTACCAGTATAAGAATAATAAAATGAGAGATAGTAATTGGGAGAAATTCTTTACTAGAACAGTTTAGTCTGCTGACTTAATCTAATTGGAGTCCTCTTCTGTAAGAGTTGCAGCACAGTCCAYGTTGGGAGTAATAGGGGCTCCACCAGGTGCTTGGCCTTGTTCTCGCTGAACACATAGGACTCCAAGCACTGCTACTTCCTCAGATGTTAAAAGCTGAAAATTCCTGAATTATCCAGTTCTGACTTCACTTACCTCTGGGTTCTGGTTTGAATCCCACTGTTTGCTGCTCATTTCATAGGTTAAGACAGATAACGGTTAAGTAATTCGAGGTATGTTTGTTTAGGGCCTGTGTCATTCTCTTACCATGTACTACTGCTAGGTACTGTAGTCAGTCTGAGAATTGTAGTCCTGAATTTCATGTTAGAATACTCACCTTTAGCATGTGAGGCACAAGGGAAAAAATCTCAGATTCTTTCACAAATGATTCTCTTACTAAGGGCTGCTCTCTCAAACATCTGCCCTCAGTGCGAGTCCACTGTCACCCCGGCYGTTACTTATAAAAGCTTCCCAAGCAGAACTGTCACCTTTAACAACATAATGCTTGCTCAAAGCAGAAGGTATGGAGACCAGGAGATGCACGTATATAACAGTGTGATGTACAAGTTCAACTTTTTTATTTACTTTCCTTGTGATATAATACTTTCTAATTAGTAACAAACCTTGAATGTCGGTGATAAGTAATTCTTCAGAAACCAGAACTTTAGAGGAGTCTTAGTGTGTTTCAGCACAGACAACATCATTATGCTATCAAAAGAAAAAAAAAAAAAAAAAAAAAAAAAAAGCACTTGAGAAACAGCAAAACACCAACCACACACTAGAGAAAGTGAGCTGCATAACAGATTACTAATTGCTGGCTTACAGTATTAGACTTAACTGATATGTATCAGCTTAGTGATCTTCATGCATGGAGAAAAAACATGCAACTTCAATCTACTGTAGATTTCTTAACTCTAACTGTCTAACCACAAAGTTAGTAAAAAKAAAATGAACCCATGAGCAAGTTAGAGAATAATTCACATGTGTTTTGGAAAGGAACCTGAACTTGTAAAAACTTAACCGTATTAGCYTATTTTGTAATGAAAGAGAATCTCGTACAGGGGTGTACCACCTACTAAACACAGCATGCTTTAAACAAACGAACATTACACAGACAGCAGTTGCTGTACTGCGGTAGATGCAAAAAGCTAGAGAATAGCTTTTCTCCATTTGAGACACCTCCTGCTTCCCCAGTTCTGAATTCTGAACTAACCGGAGGAATCTTTCATACAGGTGTCCCGAAGCCACGGAGAATATATTCAGCACGTCCTCTTTATCCTGTTTCACATCTTCAGTCTTTTGTCCTCCGGTGAATCCCCTGAAAAGACAAACGTGTTCATAGGCAGGACAAGAGAGCGGGGCCGGGGCAGTCGGGACCYGCCGCTCCGTGGGGCTCACGGGGCGCAGCTGAGGGCCTTGGGGTGTCTGCTCCCAACACGCGCCATGGGAGCGGCTTCCAAAGGCACACGGGACCCGAAGCTCAGCCCTGAGGCCTTGTGCAGCTCACACAGCGCCAGCCACACTCCTTGCTGCTCCCGAGTCACAGCAGGGCAGGGAGGCCGCCAGTGCCAAGCAGCACCTGGGCTCTCTGCAAACCGAGGSTTCTACAGGGGACAGGGAGCTTTGCACAGTCAAACCCGCTGCTTCCGCGGGTGTGGAATAGCATAGACTTGGGTATCATCAAAAGATAAAAGGGTTTTCTAGTTTCAAGAGGGCAGGTTATTGTCAAAGTAGTTTTACCACTTAAGAGATTCCCAAAATCCAGACTCATTCTCATTGGTGCCATCACTTAGTAAATCCTCATTCATCATGTCCAGTTTCTTCTGAACCTGTAAAGGCACAAAGCTATTTCAGCCAGTGGAACTGCAAATCGGGCAAAGAGTTACAGAGTGTTGGTTTTTGTATTGAATCTATTTGTACCAGTTTAAATTATGTCCAGTTACCTCAACTGTAACCTGAGCTGCACGGACAAACAGTTCAGGAGGCCATTACTCGACTAGCATTATCAGAACAGATTCCAAAGCTGTTTTCAGGCACCAAAGCTGTTATTCTAGACGGCTAAAAGGGTTACACACGTATCCAGTGCAGTGTTTCAAAGAGGCAGTGCTGGCCACTGAGACTCCATAGCAGATAAACAGACAACACAGCTCCACTAGGCAAACAGAACTGGAAGCACATCAGGACACTTGTAGGGAGAGATCATTTGATCTTAATGAAAGATTCTTCCTACTGCTTATCAGTCTTCTTTAAAAGCAATTTTAGTTTATAAACTCACCTTGACCTTAATAATTTTGCTCTTGAAGTTGTTGAGAACAACAATAACTTCACTAGCTTCAGGAGGGGAGTCTGTCCCATCATGGCTGAAAATACAATTAAACGTTATTTCTTCTTCAAATGCTTTCCTACGTGCTATTAAACCTTAACATTGAAAAGCATATCTTCTGACAGGGGACAACAGGAACGTAACATACACACACACACACACACACACATACTTGAACATGTCTATTTGCTTCCATAAAGGAATGAATTTATTCACTATTATTTATCTCAGCACAAGAAGAAATGTAATTTGCTAATCAGGTGATTGTCACTAAGCAAGTAAACTGTTAGGTTTATCTATTTCAATGCTGCACCCACCTAGTTCAGGAGTTTTACAAGAACAAAGTCAAAGTCTTCTATGTATTGTCCTACCTGTAGATTCTGTAGATATCCTCAGACCTGCCTTTTCTGAGTCTCAGAGTCCATGCACCAGGATTGGCTTTTAACTGGAAGTAGCCCTGTAAAAGAAAAGGAATAATCTGTCAGGTTTCCAATAAATGGATATGCAGAAAAAAGCCAAGCCAAGTGTATTTTGACTCAGTGCTTTAGTTCTGAATAACAGTTATTCTTAAGCCAGCTGGTTAGCGTAACCTTAAGGGCTTACAACATACAGCCAAGAAGTTCCACTTAAAATCCTCATTTTTACAAAGGATGCTGTGGAGATTACAAAGGATGGGGGATATTTTTTCCTAACTTGTTAAATATATTAAAGATTTCAAAAGCATGATAGAAAATGTAGTCCATTTTTTTCTAGCACTATGTAATATAAAGAAAATACTCTAATGTAATATCTCTTCCCATAATTTAAGTCCATGAAGTTCACCTGTCCCATGGTTCAGCATGGACCCTGTAAACAGACTGTTCCCTTCTGCAGGGACCAGTCATGGAGTCAGATTTCTGTCACCTTTTCCTGACTAAATGGCATAATTTCTATTCATTTGCACTTCCTATGTTTTCCAGGATGCTGATAATTCCTGCTGAGTCTTTTCATTTGCTCCATTGGTCTCCAGAAGGAGTGTGTGCAAGCGAAGACAATTATCCACCTGAGGCTTGCAGTACCAGACAGAGTGAACACCCTAAGTACCATCCAGTCTGGAATAAAGCAGCCCTGTCTGGCCCTTCCCGGAAAGAGGCTGCTCAAGAAGAATAACGGGCAGCGTTTCAAGACATTCCAGCAGACCCTTCTCCACAAGCTGCAGGGAAGGAGGGCATTCCTGAACCAGCTAACTCACACACAATACACAGCAGGGCTTCAGACATCAGCAATTATGTGGCTCTTGGAAATTCTCAAGCAACTATGAAGTATAATATCTCACATGGATACCTCACATATTTAGAGAGATTCAGCCATTTATACAAGTGATGATGCTTCCTGGAGAGCAAGAATTATTTGTTGCCTATAAAACGCTTACCAAGTTGGCCATAACAATGGTATCGACAATGACAGGACTGGTTGAAGTTCCCAGTGTAAACTGGAGTCCCCGAGGTGGCTGCCCAGTAGTGATATCATAGCAGTGCCCTTCCAGAAGCAGGTACTCTAATTCATATTCTGCAGCTACAACACTATCCACCTGTAAGCAGAAGATATTGCTGAATGTGGAGGTAACTCAATCTTTTAATGACTCAATTACTTTGCAAAATAGCATTTCAATAGTAATTGTGTTGTTTTACTAGATTAATTTTATTAAGCAAATCTCAGGACAACCTCAGAGAGCAGAGCTCTACTGAGAAAAGCGCTTCACGCAATTACTGTTAAGAGAGTATCCCTGGCCAGAGGTTTGAATCTAAACTGGTAAGACCCTGGTATAAGAGAAGGGAAGGACTGTTATTCTTATTTTACAATGTTTATTACCCATACTGGGAAATTTAATAAAATAAGTTGGCATCTCACAAGAAGTACAGCATCGTTCAGATCTTTAAATCTCTTTGAATTTGTTTGAAAAYGTTTGAAAACTGCTTATGTTTATCACCTGAAACTAGCAATTTGCTAATTTTAATGCTCCCCATTTCTCCTAGTACATCATGCTAGTTCATTTGGTTACATAGAAGTGTTAAGAAAAAATATTTGCCATATTTCATAGATCACTTCARGACTAACTCCCCATTAGGCTAAATTCAGGAAGCTCTATGAGCAAAACCATCATCAGGGCTCTCAAAGCAGCTTTCTCATTGCAGGTCAGAATAACAGTGTACTTGCTAGTTTCAACAAAATACATAATAGGAGTAAGAAACTGTGCACCAGCAAACATAAAGCTCATTCATTTTGAGCCTCAGGATGGCACTTGGAGCATCCCAGAAGTATTTAATGCCCCCCTCTCTCYTTCTTCTTTGCATCACTTACAGATTTCCTAACATTTCCTAACTTTTCATACATATTCATTTGCTTTCAGTGCACTTCCTAACATGTTAGTATGTGTTTGTAACTTACCATTTGCCAGCCCTCTAACTCAGCAAAGACTAAGTCAAAGTTAACTGCTAATAGTAAGAAGCTGATAACTAGCACTGGACTATCCATCGCATTCAAGGTTATATAAGAATTGATGATTCTCACTTAAAGACATTTCTCCTTTATTTTTAATAGCTTTTTTTTTTCTGTTTTTTTTTTCCTGTACTAGATTCCAGCTCCTTGGGGTTTTCCATTTTTCCTTATTCTATCCTCATGCCTCTGTGGCGGCACTTCTCTGGGCAGTATTATAATAGTCTAGTTTAAGACCTGTTCTAGAATCAATCTGCTCTTAAAACCAGCACAAGTGAGGGCATTTCTGTTGCACCAGTTCTCTTTTTGTGATCCTCAAGAGCGTGAAAATGAACTAAAACCAGCTCAGTGGTGTCTCCAGGCAAGGGAAAGAAAGTGCAATTCACTCGCTGGGACAGGACTGTCAGGTCTTACCTCTGAAATCTCTAAATCAGTAGTAAAGAAAACCTCTATATTTAATAGCAGCACTACCTGTGAGAAGTTCTGATCAGAGGTAAATTTTGATTAATAAATTTAAAAAAAGGGGGAATGACCCATGAAGCATTTCTTCACAATGTCCTGAGCTAGGAATGAAGTGTTCATGCACAGGCGAAAGAGCAGCTCTGCAGGATCTCCTTGATGCCTGCAAGTTCAGCATCTTCATTTCATCCCCTACGCTGTATTTCCAGCCTGTGGTCAGAGGAGGACGGCAACCTTATTGTCAGGGAGCTCACGTTTCCCTCTGCCTCTCCTGGGACACGTTTAGGGTATCTGCATTTAGGAGAAAGCACTAACATCCACTGCTCTATGTACGCTAGCATTTCAAAATTCTGCAATTCCTTTTCATTACAAAAATAATCCCTGGGTGGGGGGAAAAAGAACATTCAAATACATCAATAGGAACATGGTGGTTTGTGTTACCTCCTCCAAGTAAATGTTATCGAGGTCATAGGGGGTTCTGACGGACTCCACCATCCAGCTCTCAGGAGTATTTAGGTTCAAAGTGAACAGCGGGGTCTGGGGCATATCCAAAAACTTGGCAATTGGTCCAGAAGCAAAGTTGTTTTCTGCTGTGAAAGAAATCTCTGGCTCCAGAACATAACGATAGAAGCTGAAATTTCAGAAAAAAAAAAAAATCTATTTCTATCATTTTTTTCAAGTATATCACTTTCTCTGAACCTCCTAAGAGTATCTGCTTTCCCAGAGAGTTTCAATGTCTCCAAGCAATCAAAATGGAATTTTTATCCCCCGTTGCATGCAGGAGGCACTGTCCAAAGCAACATCTTTTGATCAGGTCAAGTCACTTTTTTTTTTTTTTTTTTTTTTAAAATCAGTTTACCAGATAGCCAGTGTGAGAATCAATCATAATCAATCATTAAAATTAATAAGTTATTTAATCTTAATTGCATATATGAGGGGAAAAAAAAAACAAGCACCCAACCCATCCACCCAACTCAGCCCTGGCTCGAACATTCAACTAATACACCAGTTGGATTTCTTCACAAAATTCATAAGTTCACAGACTTATTATATATTTTGCTACTAACGATTAATTAACTGAAAGCATTTATCCAGACTTTCTATAGGTCTGGTYGTGTCTGTTGCTTGCACATTCCAGCAGGTTTCTCTTTTACTGTTGCTGGGAGGGGGGATTAATACACAAAATGGCAGAGCTGTGGGCCAGCAGAAGCCCTTTTCTCACACATGCAACAGCCAGACTTGTGACGAGGCCTCCAAGTACCTTCTGCTCCCATCCTGCTGTTTTCTAGTGTGTTTTCTGCCCCTGGGAAGGCATTTCTTACCTTTTGAGAGGCATGTCGGAAAGTTTGGACTGGCAGTTCATAAACACTCTTAGGTTCATATTTATCAACTGGTTCAAAACCTGAAGTAATGAGAAAGAGCCATTCCTTAAAATGTTTACCAGGAAGGAGACCACTGCTTTTCTAGACAGGATSTCAAGCAGACATGTGACATGCTTGTTCTAAACCTCCCCCTCCTCATTACTTGCAAAGTTAACTGTCAATGGTGAAATGAAAAGGTATCACGAAAATGTTTGTGTGGTCATTATAGCTAATGGAATAACCAGTTACACTTTACATTAAGAAATGTACTGTGCATTTCAGCTGCACTATTAGGAGGTCCTTAGTCAGCACACAGTCAAGGAGGAATAAAACATTCCAGAATTACGGGACAGAGAACTTTCTGCACGTGCCATAACGTGCACCGCAAATCTGTGCGTACCAGAAGTAACGGGGCGAGCCTCTGAGCTTCTCTGGTCACAGGGTCGGCCACAGCCACCACGTCGAAGTAGGTCTGCCCCTCGTTTGGCCTCACTTTCACTGCGCTGAACGGAAGACGACACCGTTTTGAAGGACGTAATTTAAGAACAAACACAGAAAAAAGCACTAGCTATCTCAAGTCAAATTATTAATTGGATGCCTTCTTTAAACTATCCATATCTTCCTGCACATTGATACTGATCTGTATATATTTCTGTAATATTCATCATGTTATTTATATGAATATAACTGTATGTTAATGTTGATTGAGAGAGAGAAAGCAATCTATAGCTATTTATCTATATATCTCTCTGAAGTCTTGTTGKGTCCTAAAAACAGTTAAAGACTTCTCTATTGGTACTTGAAATTAAAACATRATTTTCAGCTCGAGGAACATATAAAATAATGATAATAAGAAAAATCATGTTGTTTGGCAAATGCCAGCATTCCTATACCTGTATCGTTCTTCAAAAAAGTGATATTCAATCCTTGCCTCTCCTTTGGGTTGAGCAGACAGAAGGGCATCCACTTTCATCACCAAGTCACTTGCACTGGGGAAAAAAACCAATGTTTACGAGTACTCCAAACATGCAGAGGTTTACTGCAATCCTGCAATTTAGTGGGATGGAGGGGCAAGGCAGCAGGGAGAAGACAGTCTGCAGCTGGACACCCAAACTGTTACTACCTCTCCCTATAGGATTATTTTCCCATTTGCATCTACTCATAACGAAYAGGTTTGAAAAACAGCAACATAAGAATAGATGACCTGTGTTGCAGAATGCAAACCCATTTTATACTGCAACTCTACGACATGGAAAGCAACCCTGCATGTCAGAGAATTTTGAGGGGGAGCGGTCTTATGAGGAACAGATTCACTGCTGAGTTCTTCCTTTTTATTATTTCCAGAAATGTTCTGTCTAGCATTTCAAGATCATCACATTTAATTTTGAAAACATAACACCTCATGAAAGCTCAAGAGAAATTGATTTGTACATCATAGCTTTGCCAAGAAGCAATATTGTACTTAAGGGTCTCTCAACTTTTCCTTAATTAACTCAGTCACATAGATTTATAGCGACAGCTGTTTAAATTGTTTCTAACAGAAACAGCAGCCTGGCGAAGGCTGCCAAGATCTCCAATGTTTTCTAATGCAGCAATTCCATTCACAAGCTTTCGGAAAACCTTGGCAGCGTTATTGAAAAACTCTGAACTTTGCTCTGTGCCTGTTCAGGCAATGGCCTCCTCCGCCCTGCGATCAGAAAAGCCTCTAACTTTTCTTTCTTTCTTTCCTTTTTGRTTCCCAGTACAGCAATGGATGCAAAAGGCTGTGGCCTGCTGTTAACCTGTCCTTGCAGCGCTCAGATGCACATGAGATTTCTGTACAGAAGCCCTCAGTTTAACCTACCTGAGCTTGCCAAAGCATAACTTGTCAGACCTTAACAGCAGCATCCCAGAAAAATGACCGTTGCAAAAGGTAAATACGAAACTGTCTTCTTATCTACGAGCTCAAATACACTCCCACACAGACTCTATAAATATTAGTTGACAGATCAAAATGCTACCATTGACAGATGGTAGTATATGTTCTTTTGAACCTGAAGATGGTTTTCCTTTGAAAAGGCACCTTCCATTCTTTTTGCAAGAACTACTTGGAAYGAAGATTATCATTATCTCATCTCTACTTCTTTTCCTTTTACTTTTCTTTAAAACAAGATAAAAGTCATTTCCAGGCTTCTGTAATATTGACACTGAAATATATTACTAAAAAATATATATATGTTTTTGATACTGGTAGGACAGGAGTAGTTAGCTGAACTGCAGACTAATTTGGGAAGCCTTCTCTTCAGGTCTCATCTCTATTTTCTTCCTTTCTCTTTTAAAATATTGTGATAATTCTAAACATAAATTATAAAACTAAGACATTTAGGAGGCAAGTGGTTTAAACCAGTCTGTCACTTAAGATTTAGCTAGGGGAAAACCCTCCACATGCCTGAAGGCTTTAATATTAATAAGAAGTCAGGCTTGTGTTCCATTTAGAGAAGCAGAGAGGCAATCTCATGCAGAAAGCTTTTCAAAGAGCAAGTGTAATAACACGGAGCAATTTATACCACTTTGTTACACAGCCCTCAGCAGCCAGCAGCAGCTCGCCACTGCACGTAGACAGCCTCTCTGCTGGTGATGCTGCCCCCAGCCACAGTCAATTAAATCTGGAATGAAACTCCATGTAGTGCAACACAGCAGGGAATCTGGAAAGCCCTGACAGAACATGCAACTGCTCTTAGTCTTCTTTTCATACTGTTGCTCACTCTAGCTTGTTTCAATTTCATCCAAGAAGCCACTTCCCAAAGCCCTCCGCAATACCCAAGAGAYCAGGTTGCTGGCAGCCCATGTTGTGTGATCCAGGGCCTATCTCGGAGGGCTCCAAGTCAGGAACGATGAACTGTCAGGCCCTACTGTGGTGCTGTGCTCCAGTACTCCCCTCCTGCCGAGGTCAATACCTCTCAGTACTATGGGATACTGTGAACTACGGAAAGCCAACTGAAGAACATTAAACCCAATATAGATAACTTGCTACTTTTTCCTCTCTCACTTGCTCCTCTGAACAGCTGCAATGTGACCATAATGAATATGTGCGTGTTTTCTTATAGCACTTCAGCAACGTGTACTTGATGCAAGCTGAGGTTCCTTCAGGCTGCAGGAGGTTATGTTATAAAAGTACCACCACTTCYGTTAGTCTCTCCAAGGTTACTTACACATCTTCCTCAAATCCCAGCTGCTGAATCTGGGATTTGATTTTCTGTCCTGATGTCTTCAGTATGATATTCTCAAGCAGGTGGAAATCATCCTGGTTAAACATCTCACCATCTTCTAATGGACCAATAATCTACAAAGAAAATGAGAGCAGAATTCCTATGTAAAGGCTACCCTGAAACAAGCAACCAAGTCCAATACATAATTCCAGCTACCTAAAGCCAACAGTACAACATAATGTAGACCTGTGCTTTTCAGTAATCACACTGATTTGCCAAAATATGGGACATGAAATTATACCTGCAGCATTACAACCTGAAGGGGCAGCAGAATACCAGGCTAATTCCAGTAGCGAAGCAAAGCCGTGGCAAAACTTACTCCTCTAGTCCTCAGAAGCCTAAAAGCTGCCTAGAGATTTTCTTCTGTTATGTTGATAATGGGAATATAATAGTGCAAGTTATCACCTGAGACATTTAACCCAATAAAGCATACCGGAGTCACTGGAACTTGCATTTAAACAGCTGATAAAAGAAAACTAAATGCTCTACACAGCRGGGTTTCTCTATTTGCAGGGAAATAATGTTAACAATAGATATGCTTGTTTAAGTGGCTCTTGTAGAAGGAGTTTGTGGGAGAGATCAAGTCACCAACATCCTTTAATCAGGGGCCAGATCCAGGAGCACTTTGCCCAGTGAATGGAAGCAGGACAATCATCCCTTTTCGGTCCTGGACTCCATTCTGTGCCAGCATGACTGAAACTTCTGCTACTCAGACGCCTGAACTTGCACAAAACTTCAGCTGGATGCAGTATAAGGGGCAGATCACTAGAGGTCTGACTAAATCAGACTAGGTGCAATCTGGTGATCTAAAGAAGGCAGAGACTATGAGAGACTATCAGATTTCTGAGGCTCTGCTGCTCTAGGTCTGCTTCTTTGCAGCACCCTGAATAACGTTACCACCTGCTGACTGATCTCACCCTTCCGTTGCTGATGACAGCCCTCTGCCCCTTCTTCAGCTTCAGAACCTCTCTGCAGTAGACAGCATGGGACAGAATAAAATCCACCTTGGGAGATTCATAGGCTTCTTTGAATATATTGATATCCATACCCTGAAAGAAAAATTGACATGAAAGAGGAAGAAAATTACATCCATGATCTCTTCTTTAAAGTGTTTCCTTGTTTACTTACAAAAACATCTCTACAGCTTGCTAAAATTTCTCCTCAAGGCCCTGTTCTTTGTGGTGTTAACTAGCTCCTGCCTGTCACTCTGAAACATTAGCACAACTTCTGATGCAAGGGGCAATACTTCGTTCTTCTGCATTAAATCTTCACAGATAATTTTTAAGCCTCATTTGAGACATGTATTTTTAKTTTTATTCTTAAATAGATCATGAGCTTGAACTTTTTTCTTCATACCCAAGGGAAAAAAAAGACTCATTTTAACAGACCTCTGAACCTGCATTCCTTTTGATTCTTTAAAGTTGTGTAGCTTTGATGTGAAAGAGGATTTACATTTATTGTTGTAGTTCATTAAACTTAACCTCTCAGAGAAAAAAAAAGCAAACAAAATAAAAYAGTGTTACTGCACTGCTACTTTCCGTAGTACTTTTCCGTGGGAACAAGCTATACTAAGATGCTCATTCGAAGCAGCAGCAAAAGCTCACATTAGAAGAGCCACCCTCGCAGGCACCAGAAACATGCTTACCCCAACTGCAAAGTCTAAGACGTCAGCTCCTGCCTCAATTGCCGCTGCGTTTTCTTCCTTTGCCAGTTTGGTGATGAAGTTCTTGGCATTATTTGAAGTTTGAGTCTGCAGAGCTGCCCAAATGGCCTTTGCAAAGAGCATATTCTTGCTGTTTGGATCTTCGCTGGGGTTATTAATCATGCTGATTCGGACATTATTGCTGGATTTCTATGTTTAGACACACACGGATTAGAAAAGTTTCAGGTATGTTTTATACAGGTATGTTTTATACAAGAAGAATAATACATTTCAATAAGATCTATCGCAAAAGCTTTGTATTTCTTAGCATGAAAACCAGATTCCTGTTGGGTAAGTGACAGCACAAATTAAAAGGACAAAATACTAATTTAACTCAAAATATTTAGTCTACATATGGGCACCACTGTAACAGGAATCTTTTAGATAGCACTGTGTTTGTTTGTCACATAATAAACAAAAGACCATGACCATCACTCAGAGATCTGGCAAACCAACGTTGTAGGATAAAATATTTCTGCTTACAATTCAATTTCTGCAACAAGAGACAAATCAGAGAGCAGTGCTCATGTTCATCTCCAAACCAGATGAGAAATGGGGACTAAAGAGCATCTTTCTTTACTGCATTAGTGGAGGGCTGAGAGGGGATTCTGTCCAAGCAGGTCAGGGATGTTCCAGCCCCTACAGACAATGTAAAGCTGGAAAAATAGAATGCTGCAAGGAAAACTAATCTCTCTTGCATCATAAGACAGGAACAAGCATAATCCTATGTTTCTCAAGCCTTTCCCCATTGCTTCATTAACACTGGTACACTTTGCAAGCATCACCTACCTGATGCTTAATTGCATCATACAACAATTGCCTCCCTGAAGGTTTATCGAAATCACCAACAATCCAAAAAGTAACAGGTCTAACGAAAGAACTGTCTGTAGGAGGAAAAAAAAAAAAAGATATTTGAGGTAGAGGGAAGGAGAGCTTCAGTTTCTCCTCATTTGGATGAAAATAAGTATGAGCATGCACAGATTTGGGGGGGAAATAAAGTGGAATGATGACATAGAAAAGATGGAGATGCAACTCAGCTATGAAGCCTGGTAGGACAAAAATAGTAGAATTCTATTAGGTTTGATTTCCCTTTTCACACAGAAAACCCATAGAGTACAGCATGCATTTTTGTTTCTAAACTGCTTTGCTGTTTTGCTACCTATTCAATTTAGAAAGTATAAAGGAACTTTTAAGTTAATTATAGGTTCCTGCTAGGGTACAAACATTTTTCTCCATGTTGATGCTGTTAGCTCCCAAAATCAGTTTTGTACAGAGAAAAAGTGCGGAAGCAAACATGCATTTAAAAAGCTTTCTTATTTCCTGCTGGTTCTAAAGCCAAACTTATAAAGGAATTGGAAAATTTCCAGAACAGTAATGTAAGAAATGCTAAAGTGTAAGTTACCATAGATTTCCTTGGAAGACATTCCTGGTCAAAAAGCAGAAAGGAAAGAAAGGGAAAGGAAAGAGACATTAAATTTTTTTAGTAATCCCAAAGTTTATCAAAAAGGTGGACAACACTGCACTAGCATAACTGAATCACTGAAAATCAGTTTCAACAGGCAGTAAGTCTGTGTTACTTTATTAGAATTAGCTTTGATACTTTTTAAAAATAGATTGATGCTATATTTGCATATGTCAGCATTAACTACATGTCGCCAGTTTCATACTATACCATGAAGGCATCAAAATCTGCCATGCCACTGGCTTGGATGCTGACAGTTTTTGCCGTGTCCCTGTTCAAACCCCAGCAGGCCAGCACTAGCTCAGTAATGCTGCTGAGTCAACACCACATTTACCTTTCCTGTTATTTGAGAAGATAAATATGCTTCAACATTACTGTAATCAGATACCAGCTACTCAGTATCTTAAGTCACAGAAGGGACAACGAGCCCAGAACTGGCAAGCCCTGGGATTGCAAACTAGTGCCTCTCCACAAAGGGAAATGGTTGACTGACAAGATGAAATCAGCAGAGATCAGGAAGCAGAGTAAATTAAGCTAATCAAATTAGCCAAATTCACATTCTGATCGTGTGATTACATCCTCCAGAAGGTTAACAAATGCCTATATGCAAATAAACAAATTCCTATTGAATTTTCATGGGAGTGGCAGCTGCTCTACCTCTCCAGGTTCAATACTTCAGAAGAAGCAGCACTTTCAAATGAGCATATGGAAATGTGGGTTTAATTAACAGTCTACACAGGGGAAAGCAAGACACATGCTTCAATTTAAGTGACTGAATATAAAGCAAGGGTAAATACAAGACAGAGCAAGGGTAAATACCAGACACAGCAATGGGAACATTTAAGGCAGTGCATGCAGGTGGCAGTGCCTTGAGATAATATAGGGGGAAACTTGCAAAAGCCTGGCAAAGAACACCGAGCCAGAAACAAGGGAAACCGGTTCAAAAACCAGCACGTTATTTTCGYTTCTTACTTGAAATGGGTATAGACAAGGACTGATTCAACATAAACTCTATACAAATTATGTCTGTGCATTTCCTAGAGTGAGCAGCACAGCTGAGTTTTAATAGTTAAGGGGACTTTGTATATAAACTAAGAAAACAGTACTGTCATTGACAAAGCAGTACATGCATAGGAGTGGTAAGAACAGCACAGACCTGACTAGCAGTTGTCTTACATAAAACACATTAAGTTTCTTCTGACTGCAAATAACCTTTAGTAACTTTGAATTATGAGGCAAAGGGTTGGAATCCCTGTACCTGCAGGATCAGAGTTTGCACTGCTGCGTTTTGGTAGCCTTAGGCAATGTGGCATAGGTTTGGGTGGGACTTCACTACTCACAGAAGGTTACACGTTTTTAATGAGGAGAATATTCTTGTTCATGTAGATGCTAAGCCCTACAAAAGTCTATTTTTAATACCTGAATGGCACCATTGTCCACAGATCTGAACAAGGTTCATGGTTTAAGTGCACTTAGTATTGCATGCAAGCTCTGAAACACACATAAAAAATACATCTGGGCTCACAATCTACCACAGATGTTACCTTTCTTTGTTAAGTAGGTCATGCTGTTCGCCACAGCAGCTGTCTTGTCTTTGGATTCCAATGTAGTGAATCTAGCATAGTCATCCACGTAAAAGTTATCTAGAGAGACAGGATGAGAGAGAAAGTATTAGATGCCAAAGCAAACTATTTACTTGCGAAATGAAAGAAAATCGGCAGTACTATCAGAATATCAAGTCACATTATTATTAATAGCTAATATGTTGAGGAACTTGTTGCTCCATAAGTTATGCTAACATACAAAATTAGCTATATGGCATTCTCATAATGGAGAGGTCAGTTATTTGAGTCTGGCGAGTTAATTTTGTAAATACACATTCAAAAGTCTGCTCTATTACTATGCTTCAACCAACTCAGGAAAGGTCATTACACATCATTACCCAAGTGCATCTGCAGTCCTGCTGTTATTCTGCAGAGCCTCTGCATTGGATGTTATTACTTAACATTTCTAATAAGTTTTTCTAAAATATATGGCACAACAAATCCTCAGTGATTCCAAAGATRACTGTCTACTTCTGCTTGAAAGGTCAGAAATAAGGAACAAGCTGCTGCTTTACTACTCATGGCTTTTTTAGTGTCACTGTTCCCTCAATTTCATGAGTCAAATTCCCCTGAAGAAGTCCCTTGGGGTACAAACAGATACTTCAGGTGTAACACACAGGTGTTCAGGTGTAACACAGCTAAAAGCATCCCTTACTCATTGCTGTCAAATCCAAGTACTCTCTATCAGACATTAGGATCCTTGAATTGATTCTGGGAACAACATTAGGTTGGTTCATGATGTATTCAACTACATCTTGATCATTAGATAATTCACCCTGAAGGAAAGAAGAAAGAAAAAGCAATTCTGATTATGTCACATGTATGTTTACCTTAAAATTGACCTGAAAGTCCCTGAATGTTATACACATGACAACTTATGTAACTAGTTAAAAGTCAGAGTTCTCTCTGAGGTGACAGTTGAACCCCGTACCTACCAAGTACACGGCTCGCTGGAAGATGCTTGTGGTTTCCAGGATTTTGTGCATTGTCACCGTTTCTAGGTCATCAGGATCCAGCTGATCTCTTTGGAAAGGCATCCCATTGAACAGCACAACAGGGAGAGGACCGACACCTGTCTGCTCATAGTAACTTCTTGCTGCCTAATACAGTGAAAGGAGGAACTTTACCACGTCAGCCCCTTACTACAACAAGGGTTCACCTTTCTATTATAGCCACCAAAGTCCATTTTTATCACACCAAGATGTCTTTTCAGGTTCTATGTAACACATACTGGATACAAATTTTACACAATCATACACTTTCTGTATCTTACAATGTCCTTCTCTTTCAGTTTCAAAAAACAAAGAGTTAGTTATATTAAAGAAGTGCATATAGCTAGGCATCACACTAGCAAAATAGTCCACTAAACACTAAACTCGCAGTTAAAAAAAAAAAAAGGCATGGTATGAAACCAATTATGGARCCATTAGCATTTGTAACATAAGATGGGGGAAAGTGATTTGCTCTGCTTCTTCTCATCAGTGAACAGAACAGCAATCAGTTCTTGTTATATAAAATATACATGTGTGTGTCTATATTATGTGTGTCTGTGTCAATGCATATATGTGTATATAAGCTTTATACTAAACATAAGTATTAAAATACTATTAAAATTCATCTCAGTATGACAACAAATTAGATACTTGTTTACTAAATAAGAGAATTGGAGCAAGAAACTGTATAGAGTTTTTGCAAAATGGTATTGATGGAAAAGTAAAAAAAAACTTTTTAAAGTAAAAAATGTTTTCACACACATTTCACCTTTTTTCTTACCTTTCTGTTTTGATCATAGGCAGAATCAATTCCCAGAATGCTGTTCACTTCCACATACGGATACTGTTGCTCCAGAACACTGACCACATGCTCCACTCTCAGCCGATCTCCTGTTTTCACTTTGTTGTATATCTGGGAAGGGGACACAAATACTTGTTTGCAGCTGGAACTGAAAACCACCTCTCCTTAACAAAGGTAAGTTAACATATCACCTGTAGACAAGGTTTTGACAGACGGATATTCAAAACAATTCCTATTTATTAACAGCTTGCAAATACATAGCTAAAAGTTACTAAGTGCTTGTAGTTCTGAAACCTACCTTGCTTTACCTCATAGTTATTCCAGTCAGATTGAAAGTGSGTAAGTGTTAAGGATTTCTTGAAATAACAACGTGTATCTTTAATTACAAAAGTTATTTGGGCAAGAGAAGTAGTGCTCAGATGAGAAAAAAACAAACCCTCAAGCACATCAGAAGTGTCACCTCCTCCTTGCAAAGCAAGGCACATGCTTATGAACAATACAACATACCCTATCTCTAAAGCATCTCACTAATTTTGTTTCTCCCTTGAAAGCACGAGATTTACTTCTGAATTACAACTATATATATGTATCTATATAAAATGTCAATAATATAATGAAAAAATGTTCTTCAAATAACCAGAAATGTAATGTTACAGTATGCCCATCCTAAAGATTTATGCAACTATGTCAAACTACAAATGAAGTACAAGTGAAAATGAATTTACTAGTACCTTTTCTAYCCTTTTATGTTGCAAGACTAGGTGGCAACAACTGTTCACTATAACTTTCTTCAACTAACTACTAAAGGGACAGAATAGTTTAGAAGTCGTATTAGCAGAACAAWGAAACAGGTCGGATCAAAAAACTTACAAAAGTACAAATGTTGCATTTAAATMTGGTATCACCTGTTAAAATTCTGAAGTACCCTGAATACCATTAAAGTCAAAGYAGAAAAATACTTTTTCCCATTACCTACATGAACAATCTATCATTTACAACAAATAAGAAAACTATATTTGCTTTTAAATGAATACTTACAGACATAACTGCCTGGAAAGCATAATTATTATCCATTTCTTGTGCCACATAATTGTACGCCCTAAGAAGGGCAACACCAGCATCCTGAAGTCCATCCACATCATCTGAGTCATTAAGCACAAAGACTAGTCCTATCCTGCAATCAAACAAACCCCCAGATCATGAACCTATTATGCCAACAGGTACTCTACTCTCCACACAAGTCAGCCACGATCTTTCTCTCAAGCAAAGGTTTCTTTTCTTTTTTAATACATTGATAAGATTTTGAACAGTGTTAAGGTATCAGAATTACGACGTACAATCTCTGGCAGGKAATCTGTCAGAATTTTGCCTTTCATAACTTCTTTCATCCACTGTGCTCACATTTAAGTAACTTTTGGGCTGTTGAAAAGACCAATTTTTTTTTTAAATCTGTTTTGCCACTAGCAAAAGCTTTACTCAAAACATTTTAAAGGACATTTACAAAATGCCCTTTCCTATCAGCAATACAAAATACCTAAAATTTCTGTAGTGTCCTAATAGCAAGTATTTAAAAACTGCAAAGGTCACAAAAATGAAACTTACCAAGAAAAGTCAAAACAAAACCCCCAAACATAGTATTACCTCAGTGGGATGTGGTTACTGAGGAACATCTCTGCCACATTAAACAATTCTGCTGTAGTCTCATGAACAGGATCTACTATCAGCACCTGCACATAAATTGCAAATGAAAGGTTTCTGTTCCCGTAAGTCAATACATTGGCTTTTAAATAGAGATAGAYCATTCATATTCATACTCATACTCATAACATAGATTTACTAATGATCCCATTTTATTCACTGACAGGGACATGAGACCCACTAAGTTTTTCCTAAACTCTTTATGTCCGAAGTCATTATCAAAGCTGCTCTGTCTAAACAGCTTCTTTACCCAGAACAGGCTATGTTCTTTTCATGCCTTTACCTTGACCTCAGTATGCCCTAGATTTTAGGTGTCTGTCTCTGAGCATATCAAAATGTTCCCCATGGAGAGCTTCACACCCCCCTTGCCAGAGCGCCTGAAAACCACATTGCTCTGCCTAGCCCTTCTGGAGGGCCGATCCTGCAGGGCATTCTCACAGCGAGGTTTGTGCTCAAGAGCAAAACCCAGACAGAAGTGGGTCCTTTAAAATGAAGTTATGGCCCATTATTCAGATRAAATATTGCTTTTATATTAAATAATTTCAGTGTTAAAAGCATGATCATCGTAGAAGGATATGGTGGCCTTCACGTGGCTACTGCAATAGAGGCCAGAGAACTACATTCAGTAATCTCTGAATCTCAGTCATAAGTTGGCAATATAGTTAGAACTTAATCTTCTTAGAAAAGCATCTTAACTCCATCTTTAAGTGATACAGAATGCAACATATACGTMTGCAAGTGTCAAAAGCTCATGCCATTGCTGTTAAGAAAAAAAAAGCATTTCATTTCTRATCAGAACACATCACTTACAAAATTATGGAAGTTTTTCCTGATTTGTCTGATCACTCCTGGAAACGTGGGACGCAGAAGTTCTTGCACACTGGAAGGCCAGGAATTGTACCGGCTGTCAAGCTCAAGATTGTTGATCCACTAAAGAGAAATAAAATAAAGCCACTTAAATGACCGAGTCTTCCTGCCCAAGTTTCAAATACTAAAACATTTTAAAATCAGGCACTATATTGAGCCCTATATGAACAAAAAGTTAAACTGTCCGAAGAGTTAATTGCATTTAGAACACAGCACTTGTTTTCCCAACTGCTGCTCCTTTTTCTTCTCTGCAGTTTCATATTTGATTGTGCGGTGAAAAATAAAAGTTCCCCTGACAGCTTAAGAACCTGTTGCTCAAAAATAAATGAAGCATTTCGTATATAAACCATACGCACTGAAATAGCAGGGCTTCTGATGTCCACAGCGTAGTCTGAATCTGCTGGCTGGATGTTTAACTTCAGAACATTGTGCAAGGAAAGACCCTCAATTCCGAGGCTGTGCAGGCCCTCCATAACACGGGCTTCATTGCGTAACACATCAATCAAGCTGCAAGGAAAAGAAATTGGTTTTTGAATTTTAAAAATACAGCAACTAATTTGCTATTGCCTGAAGTTTAACAGATGGAAAGTATAAACAGAAGTCTGAAGGTCTGTGCATTATTTCTTACCTCTCACCTGTTTCTGTCACAAGGAATCGGAGGTAATTTAAATAAACTTATTTATTATTGTGAGAGAAAAGTGCATTATGTCAACATAACTGTGATACAAAGTTGTAATTTCAGTTCTACAATACTGAAACAGATCTTGACAATGATCAAGTTTTCATATGAAAAATTTACAGAGATTTAGCCTTTAGGAACTGAATATTCTACTGTCCTRAAAACAAACTTGTACCCTGACAGTCCTGGAGAACAAAGTCTTGCTTGTTCACAGAACAGGTCAAAAGAACAGTAGTARGGTGAGGTTCCCTTCTGGTATTTTAGAGTATTTTGGCTTTCATATCAGCTTTGGTAAGAAAAATAAACATTATTTTTTTCCCCTATACTTTTCGATTAAACATTTACAGCTAGTTTAAATACTGTTTTTCAAAGAAGGCTCAAATCTGTCTAAATGACCTCAGCCTTCACGCACAATGATGCAAGATTCTAAACAAGACACAATGGATGTGGAAAAGAAGACATCCCTACCTAAATATGTCCTGAGTGTCTAAATCAATATGTAGTCCGTTGATGAACAGGGCAGAGTCACCTGGCTGTAATCCCAATGTTCCTTTGAAATACTGGAGAAAAAAAAAAAAAAAGTTATTATTGGAGTGCTACAAACAGTATAATTTTAAGAGGTATAACTAACACTGACGGAAAAGAAAACAGTATTTGCATATATAAAAAGACCCTAATACTGTGATGAGGATGGGAAAAGGAAAAAAGAGGAATAATAAGGTAACTGGTAAAGTACCTAGAACAGGAAATCAACCTATAAGCAGGAAGAAGAATTTATATGTTCTTCAAAGATGCAACATTGAAACAGTGGCTCGGCTTTAAGCAAAGTGTAAACTTTTTCACAGAAACATTTTCAAAGTATCGGATTATATTAAATGTGTGAATGTGCTACATAACTTTCTGGAAGTGTTACCTTTTGGTTCTCTTCAATTTCTGTCCTGAGTTCCGAGGAAACAACCGTTTTTGTTATTGCTCTACAGGAATAAAAACAACATGCTGTCAATTTTCACTTCATTTTGCCAAAGTATCCCACTTTTGCTATCTATAAATATATTTAATCTCCTAGTATCAGTAGCTGCAATCAGAAGGACTTGTGTGTTGCAGCCCCATTAGAAAGTAGCTATTTCATTGCTGTTTCTTTAGAAAGCTGCCTAGCATGCTTCAAAAGAAAATAAAAATGTTAACTCCATGCCAGCTGCCTCAGGAAAGAAGCTTTTGATGCCCAGTGTCTAGTTTTACATTAAGCCATAATAAAATTGACCTGATGGCAACATAAACTAAAGTAGAGATCAAAGAGGGAGCAGAGAAGAGGAAGATTTCATAGGTAATTTTGTTGAATATTCTACTGGTCAATACTGAAGAAAAACTGCGCAAGCTCCCCGTTGTAATCATTAGCTGAAGATCTCTTCTGTGCATGTGCTCTGCAGTGTTGCCTCCAGCCAAATGGAAGCTCAGATATTAACCATGCTGCTTGCCAAGTATTCCGCTGAGGAAAACAAGCAGAAAAACACAAAGACAATTTACTAAGGCTTCCCAGCACTCATCATTGAAGTTACCTGGCTTTTGTAGGGAAGTTCTGACTGAGATCTTTCATGACCATCAGAGCATCTACAGGGGGAGCAGCCAAAATGCGGGCAGCAGTCTGAAAACTTAAATCTAGAAATGAAACAGCACAAGTCAAGAGCTGAACTGAAAACAACCCAGTGCACTGCACTGAGAATAAAAGCACTGACAGCACACTTCAGTCATAACAACTTCAGCTTTCAGCATTTCTGCTCATCTGCTCCTTTAGGTACTTTTGGTCTTCTTCCAAATTTAAAACTTTTATAAGATCCCTCTCAATTAGTAATTTCCAAGCTGAACTAATGTGCAATGCCCACAGCTTGCTTCTCTGAGCCCAAACCATCACTGTTTATTTCCCGGTAGTGACAGGAGAATCTACCCTTCACAGGAGGTCTGGGTAGCTTGTTTTACAAGCTGGAAAATTAAACAGTCATCTGCTGGAGATAGGTTCTCTGCAGCTATAACATATTCAGCATTTCTATCKACTCCTTTGCCAGAAGATGAGCAGTATTTTCAACAATCCTGTAACAAGAACTACAGGTGCTTTCCAGGGAAACAAGCTGGAGTTGCATGCAGAAGCTTTGAAAAGTAGCTCAAAATACCTCTTATTGGGTTTAACAGAAACATTAAATTAGTTCTATCTGGGTGGTAGCCAAAATGAGGAAAAATGATTAATTTAAGAAGTGAAAAAAAAAAAAAAAGCCCACAAAACACATGAATGTCACCCTGCTACAAGCAATGGCATTTGCAGAGAATTCAGGAAGATATTTTTACCCATATGGATTTGCAGTACGGTGCAAACAGATTACCTTGTAACTGCCACACTTTCAAAGGTGCCATTTCATTGGTGCTTTCCACAAGGTGCTTTCTGAGCTCCTTCAGCTCCTCCCTCAAGTCAGGGTACAGCTGCCTGAAGGGAGTGTGGGTAAAAAGAGAAAGCTTAGTGGGTTCCTGGAAGCAACTCTGCTGCTAATTCAAAAAAAACAACAAATGAAAAAGAATGCTGCTAAAACACGTGGATAACAAAGCTCTCGGATATTTAATAAAATAATAAGAAGAAAGAGATCGCATCTCTGCGTCAAGTGTTTTGATGAGACAAAGCCTACATCAGAACTTTACATCAGAACCTACATCAGAACTTTACCTTAGTTTGCCAAACAGAAATCCTTGCACTTCATCAACAGGGTCATTTTCATCTATTACTGTAGCGTTAACATCTGTACCTGTAAATGCACAGAGAATACCACTATCACCAATTATTCAGACAGTTCTCAAGCTTGATTGGATTAGTATTGACAAGACCGCCGGAAACAATCTTAATAAAACATTTATACTTGCATACAACTCTTTTAGTTCTCAGATTGCTCTTTTATAACCTAGAATGTGCATCATCCACTTATTTGACAAACTGAGAAAAAATAGCTTTGTCAAATAACCATATAGCTAGAGACAAGCCATTGTTTTCCTTATATTCAGTCTCACTGTGTTCTTCAACAAGGGCTGATGATTCACCAAAATGCATTAAAAATAATACATATACTTTAAGCAGATGGGCCACTGCAGCAACCAGAAAGGAGAAGTTTCGGGTTCACTTCTGCACTCGTACCCAAGGGAAACGAACTGCATAGACAAACCTTGTAGCAGCTGAAAGAAAACAAAGCTGTATTGTTTAGAAGGAAGCTCTCAGAGGTGAGTGGAGATCTCAGAGGTATTCGGGCACTGCAAAGGAATTCACTAGCGCCTCGAAGCTTTCAGGACATACCAGCTTTATAGGGTAGGTGCTATAMCCTATATACGCTCTAAGGTAGGTGCTAAGCTTCACTCATGAGCATAACTCTGATTTAACCTGCTAAATACGTGATAAAAAACAGTATTCAAATAAATTCCAATTCTGAGCTTAATCAACACAAAGAAATCTGTGTAAAACACAATGCAGGTAATTGCATTAGCAGTACCATGCTAAGGTCTAGACCAGAGTTATCGTGCCCAGCACTTTACAAATACAAAAGTCAAGTACTGTGGTAAAAAACACACTTCATAAAAGACACAATCCCAACAGAAAAGGAAAGAGATGACAATGATTTTGATGATTTCAAATTGGTAGAAAGAAGAATACCTGCCACGCAGGCAARCATCCATTGGTATCAGAAGAAATGTAAGATGACCTTTACAAAATTAAGAGTTTGACATTAAAGTAGTTGAAATAAGAATTCACCTTTCACCTGGGTGTCATCCTTGGCCTTATATTCTGTACTCTTAATGGCCAGTTCCACACCATACCCAGAGAGGTAGACTTTTTCTTTACTGGGATTCTGCAACAAAGAAAGCAAACATTATAACACCGTTACTTAATTTTGCTGTGCAAATTAAAAACTGTCATTTCCCAAAGTTAAGGAATCTCAAGTCGGTACTTGAGATTTCCTATACTGGAAACATAAGTAGTAACACATAAGTGAGAAAAAGAAATAATGGGAGTGATTTTGCATTAATGTCCCATAACAAAAAAAAAAAAAAAAAAAAAAAAAAAAAAAAAAAAAAAAAGGAGAGAAATGAAACAAGGAGGCAGGTACACGGTGATTTAAGGGGAAACACGCAAGGTCACTTGATGGAAGATTTTTAAAGTACATACCAGTGATATCACTGTATCAAAATCTGTTGTATAACATACTTAATTCTGAATGCAAGTACTCTTTCCAAAATTGGAAAAAAAAAAAAAAGGAAAGCACTGTTTGCAATGCATGTATAACCTTCCTTTATCAAAGGAGCAAATGTTACTAGGGGTGAAGCTATTGATGCTTTGTCTCACTCAAGCCTGGCTACTGGCTGCTACTTTCACAAGTTTCGGTAACATTAACACAATTTTCAGGAAAAGAAGTTAAACAACAAGTTTTTCAGACCATTTAAAACATAAACATCAATCCAGTGGTTATGGGAAATTTGAGGAAGAGAGATGAAAACACAGAGAAGTTAYGGGAGGACTGGAGATGGAACCCCCACAGAATCAATGTCTTTCATTTGAAAGGGGCACCTTAAGGTTGATGTTTGCTGTTCATATTCAGGTAGTTTTAAGTGGTCTAACTATGGAGAGAKCTGAATATATGAGGGGGAGATAAGTGGTATCTATTCTATAATCAAAGACACATTGACCAACATTTTCTTAGGTAGAAATTAAGTGGAGTTTCACTCTGAACTTGTAAAATCCAATGTTCTTCTCTTTTAAACAACCAGGGAATTGTAAATACTTTATAACCCTCGGCTGGGTGCTAAAGGAAAATAAACTGAGTAATTCTGAAGAACGATCAAGCAACAACACATTACCTAAATACAMATATAAAGAAATCACAYGTTACCTAAATACAAATATAAAGAAATCAAACTCAAGTCCTTTTCCTTTTCAAACCGTGGCTACAAACTCTACGCCAAACGCTCATGTAACACAGCACAAATACACTTACAGCGACATAGTGCCTGAGGACGTAGGCGATTTCCCCTGCCCTGGCCTTTGAAACGAGCAGCTGGTGGGAGCGGTAGAACTCCTGCGTGCCGATCTCGGCGTAGAGAATGACCACGGGGCCGTCGGCGCTGGACGCGGGGTGCCTGTGGTCCCCTCTGAACACAAACGGCCTTGGCCTGCGGGTGCAGAGGCAGCRTTAGCACCCGGCACTCGCAGCAGCTCCGCTCCCGAGGCGAGCGGCAGACGTCCTCCTGCCGTAATTCTAATCTAACAAGCCCTATATTTTCAGTCAGCTTTTTATCAAATCAGAGGCTCAATATTAATAAACAAATAAATAAATAAAAAGAAAGAAAGGCTAACAGCAAATATTCCAGACATTCACTTTCAGTATTGCCTTGAACCAGGGCTTAAGCTACAAACAGAGTGAAGGAGAAGGCTGTTTGAAACTTCCATTTAAAAATCTTTTCTAAAATACAGTGATATTCCCACTGACTCAGACGAATAGGCAGGAGCTGTGCACATGAGCTACTGATGCCACAAGACTGTGTGCAAAGAGGAAAGAAAATCMTTAAGTTTGGAAAAAGAAACCTTCCAAGATTACTTGAAAAATAAACTAARATTTTAAGTATTTGTAAGAGGAATTATATTTTACAGTTTCTGTTACTGAAAGTTACACTCAAATTCTGCTATTTCTCTTGTAAAAAACAGTACAATTTAAAGCTTCATTAAGGCAGCTAATGCTCTTTATTWAAAAAAAAGAAAAAAACACTAAAAGACTAATTACTGAGGGTTTCTTTTTAAGTTTCTTTCTCATTCTAACTTTAATAAATTTGCAATAAGAAGTTCAAAAGATTAGCATGTATTTTGAAGAAATCTGAAATGGAAATATGTTGTATATTGCATATTATGTGTTCCCTTCATTAACTTAGAGAAAATTACACAGGAAAAATATTATCTATTGCTTTAAATCATTCATAAAATTATACCTATTCTGTTGACTTACATTTTCATATGCAGCCCAAATCTTTCCATTAATTCTCTTTAATTCACTTAAAGGTTTTACACGTTTCTTATAATTACCACTATTTTTTAACACTTTGCTTCTGTGCACTTTCAAGGCCTCCCTCTTCCTGACAGATTATCAGAGTGCGAGGGATAAGAAAAATATCATTCTAATTTGGATTAATAACACATAAGACCGTGACTCCCGTATAAGAAAAGAGCAGTATAAACTGGAACTGAAGAATGCAGRAACTAGTAGTTTACTCATACCTCGCTAGAGCAGTAAATGTAGCTAGGCTCATTCTGAGGAGCTAACACAGCAACAGAAAGCGGGTACCTTTCTGATGCCGTCTGCAAAAGGCTCCCCAGAGAGTCAAATTCACACGTCTTCTCTCCATGCACCACGAAGAAGAGGCTGCAGCCCTCCGGGGGGGGTTCATCTGCTGCTATCTGAATTAAAGAAGTTGTAACAAAGAAGGTTGAATGTTTTCCCTCGGAACAAGTAAATCTGGCACTAATACAACTCTACAGCAATACAGTAATATCGATCTCCTGCTTGAATTTCCTAAATTCTAAACCAATGCTTCTTTCCTATCTACTACATAATCTAAGTGCAAGGCAAAAATACAAAATTAAAAATTAAGCGCCAACATTAATAAACATTACTTTCCAGCCTCTTGCTATTCCCCAAAATATCTGCTACAGACTTAAAAAGGGGACAAGGGCAYTTCTGGGCTTTGTGATTTTTTTTCCAGTACTTATCGGAAAGCTCTGTATTTGTTAAGCAGTAAATGACAGTATGATTCAAAATTAAAAAGAAAGATAACTTCTACTATTATTCAAAAAAAAAAAACACTATAATATGAGACAACTTGCACTGAACTATATGATATTCCATGCTTTTTATTTTATTTTTTTAAGAACTGTCTATAGCTGTTCCTTTTATTTAAAGCCGTGTCTCAGCTGTATCAAAGCGGGTTGCTCTTTAAACAAAGTTGAGAGCTCACTGCAGTATGAAATGGAGGCATTTACCTTCTTTATAGAAAGGGTCAAATAAGCTTGTTTCCATTTCACTAACGGAAGTCTCAGAAGTAAAATAGCAGCAGGGATTTTCCAGCACTGACTAGTGCAACAGCCAGCAAAGACACACAGACATTTCAAAACTGCAATTCTTCAGKCACCTCTGAACAGATGAACTGTTGGCAGCCACTGAAATCCGTATGGGGCAAGGCACATTAGCTCAGCTCTGCAGCACATCCGTCTGCTCAAGACTTTTGACACCCTGCATGTTTTTCTGACACTGCTGCCTCCTCGTCCTTCAGGCCTGGGTAACATTTGCAAAGCATTTGAGGATCTCCACTGGGCTGCACTGACCTGTTGAAAAGCTTGAACTGCTGCAGAGTAAGAGCGTAACGACAAGGAGAACTTCAGCAAATTCTGCTGCAGAGGCGACAGGTTCCGGCTGGCTATTTTCAGCATCTCATGGTAAAAGGCATAATCACTACCTGGGAAGTCAGGGCACAGAGGTTAATCCTGTCCGAAAGCCTGGAGCACTCCACAATACAAACACTAGTGAAATGAGTTCTCCATTGATTTTTACAATGCTTGCTAATGGTCTTTACAATAGTCTTGCTAATACAACGCAAGACCAAACACTTGAATGCATTTTTCAACCATGCCAATTATCAGCCATGGCTCCGAGATTACAAGAGCTTACCATCATGTTGAGATGCTTTAATATTCTGACTTGCTTCCACAAAATTCCAGAATCTTTCTTGACCTTCTTCTGATAAAAACTCACTGAATAAAAAGAGGGGAAATAGCTAGATCTATGAAGTGTCTCCAAACTACAAATTTTATGCTTCAGAGAACTTTACAGAAAGTTAACTCCTACCATCTGCTTTCCCATATCAAAAACCAACCGTTACTAGACTAAGCAGTCCAGGAAAGCTAAAATATCAAGTGAAATAATAGTTGCAGGCCAGGACAAACGCCTGCTACGTGACAGAAGCTCATGAAGCACTTAGCAAGCTCTCAGAGTAAAGAGCACCCAAACACAGTCCTGTGCGTGTCGGGACCTCTTCTCCCAAAGGGATTTCTTCAGTAACTACATTTTATGAGAAACACAGAACATTTTCTTTAGTTCATTGTAACTATAGTTTGGCTTTTTTTTTTTTTTTTTAAATAAGTAAACACAAATTCACCTCACAAAGCTGTAAATCACCATACATTAAGCATATGGCTGTATGTACACAGTCATAGATACATAAAGTAATTCTCCAACCATTACTAACAACACGCGCTTTACCACGTCCTATCACAGGCCATGCTAAAGGATTGTTTGCTCTAAATATCAGGCAAGTGTTGAAAATACACTTTATTATACAATACAATATATTGTATTTGTCACTTCCTGCTCCTCGGGCACGCTTCCTTTCCCGTGCAGGCCTATGAGCTTTTCCTCAACACACACACCCCATTATCAAAGATTTTAGCGCTGGCATTGTCATCTGACCACCAAAGCCTGCCACCCAACTGAAGGAAACCCACTAACATTCAATTGTTTTCCCATCACCCAATCTGGAAATACATTCTGTGAGATCTGTGATAGTGTAGGGAGAATTTCCTATAAGTCAAAGCCCTTAAATAATACAAAAACAAACAAACAAACATAGACAACAGATTTTACAAAGACATTCCCAAATTCCCRTTCCTGAATCAGTATATTGGGAAATGAAATTGCAGGGGATCCTAAAGCACCAAGTTGACAAGCAATGAAAAACAAACAGTCCAAACTTTGTGTGCAGAATCGTGCACAGTTTCCCCATACCTGTTTACACAAACTCTGTATTCAGAATGTTATTTTATSGGCAAATCGCAGTACAAATTGAGATGTTTTGCCTGTATGCATTTTAACGTGACTATTTATTTCCTCAGTTTTAACATCATCTGGTTTTTGTTCTTCAAAGCAAGAAGTCTTTAACAGCAAAGAAAACATTTTCCCGAGGTTCACTTGCAAAACTCTTAACAACTAACTTAACGTAAGGTAATCAATACACCTCTCACATGAACAAAGTTAAACTGAAACTTCAAACTGAGCCAAAGCTATGCAAGCAACAGGTGCATATCAAAATTTACAGCCATCAGTGAAGTCAGAAATCTCTTATTATGGAAACCTACAAGAATACGATAGACCTCTGTATCCCATGCTAGGATGTAAAACCTTGTGAGGCAATAAAATACCTGCTTTTAGCCACAGAGAGAATGCATTATTTTATCCTTTAAGGGCATTCTGATTTGTGAATGAAAACAATAGCACACGTACCTAGTTTCAAGTAATAAAGGAGTTGAAGACCACTTTGTAGTTAGAGATGTTGTCACAGCCTTAGAATCCCCTTTGACAAGTGAAGAGCTGAACCAGATTGCAAGGATTGCAATAAATATTCCCATTTTATAGAAAAAGACTAAAAAAGATGGAAGAAAAAAATGTTAGTCTCATATTGTTTCTTTTTAAAAATAATCTCAGAATATCCACGTATATTATGGCCTATTGAAGATTGAGCTGCCTAGTTTATGCAGTAAATCAATGGGATAATGCCAGTATCTTCGATTTTTAAGCCCTGGAGGAACTATGAGTGCACAACAAGGAGTGAGGATTCTAAGATCATACTCCTGAGCTGTAATCAAACCTAAAGCGATTTCAGTTTCCTACATATTTGTCCTTTCAAATAAACGCATTTAGCTGCTGGGACTCTCACATCACATACTACTTGCCTCACGAAGGGGTGTTACAAACAGCTCGTTATTTCAAATTAGGTGGAAGCCCAACCCCCTATTTGCTTTGGACATTGGCTTTCGGACTCTGCCTTTGCACAGACCTGTGAGCTGAGGTACTCACCGGTGTCAGGAGGAGGAGGAAGGTCAAGGCTCCTGGTCAGCCCTCCCGGCTCAGCTCCGCACAGGCTTCCTCGCTGGGGAATKAAGAAACAAGCATTTCTGGGAGGCGCTAAATACCCCCAACCCTAGAAGCTGAAAAACGAAGGCCAGCGGATGAATGAAGGCAGACTCAAATGACACAACTTACTGAGAGAAATGGACCAAAAAGAAAAAGAAAACCCCACATTTCTTCTTTACCCGTCACCGTACCCTTGTCCTTGCTTGTCTGCCTTTCCTCTGACCTCGTCCCCACAGTGCAGCTTGGGGGGATTTCCCTGCCCCGCTCCTGAACGCGAATGCTGCCGCTGCCTTTCCGTTTCACTCTTCAAACACTAAAACTCTCCTTTATTCATTGACCRGGATATATTTACCGCACTCCCAAATACACGCACAGCCACTCCCTCACTTTTTATTTTCTGAATCAGTCAACTGCAACAAAAAACCTCTCAAGGGTTTACTTGTGATACTCAAGTATAACGCAACTGATGTCCTGCAGGGACCTAACTTGTGCTTTTCCTTCATGTTTCTATGTAAAAATAACCTTTGTATACATTATATATCTGTAGCTGTAACAGCCTTTGTATACATTATATATCTGTAGCTGTAACAGCCTTTGTATACACTATATATCTGTAGCTGTAGGTCTTCATAAACAGAGATATGAGACTTCCACTATTCACTTTAGAAATTAAACTATTCCAGCTCTGTGCACAAGCACTCATTCCCCCATTGTTTTTCTCTCTCTCTTTATCTCTGCATCTTTCCCTTTGCAATARAAATACAGATATTGCGTTGTGGAAGATGCCAAGCGGCGCGCGGAGCCGCCGGGCTCGCGTGCGCGGCGGGAGCGAAGCGGGGCACCGTGGGGCGCCCGGAGCCCCGGTCGGGGTGCCTGGAGCAAGGCCGCCACTTCGAACGCCTCAGGGACGGGACCGGCCTCTCCCGCTAGGCCTGCGCCACCCCAATTCCCGCTACAGAGCTAGCACCGGGAGCAGGAGCCAGGCGCTCGCCACGGGCCTGAGCCCGGCTCTGCAAACGGCAGAGCCCGGGAGCGGCCGAGGAGCGCGGGCGGCCCTGCACGCCG